ACTCCCACCGACCCCAGCGGCGTTACCCCGCAGCGAGTCAGTCAGACCCGCCCCCCACCCCCTCGTCCCGACGCCGCGCAGTCTCTGCCTCGCTATCAAAGGCCGGCATCAGCCACCCACCTCAGAGGCCAGAAAGGCCACGTCTACACCAGGAAACTATTTCGAAATCACAAAACTCGATTTAATAACTCCCGAGATAACGACATCGATCTAGTGTGGCCCCACTACCAGGAAGCCTCGAAATCAGTCCGAGGCTGGCTCTGTCAATGTAGGCAGGCTACCTCCACCTAGACCCCAGGGAGGACTGGGGAGTAACTAGTTTGAATGACTCTTGGAAATAGTTATTTTGAAATAGCAGCAGCGGCGCATCCGCCCTACCGCTATTTCGAAACCACTTCTTCACAAGAAGCCTAACTCGCTGAGGAAAGCAGGCGTACAGATTTCGAAATAAGCGGCCTGTTATTTCAAAAAAACGGGCTTGGTTGTGTGGACGTGCCGCTTATTCATTCGATTTTAGAGGGGTTATTTCGAAATGAAGCCCTAGTGTCGACCAGGGAAGAGTCTAGCGCTCTGGCCCTGGCCCGTGTCTGCCACCCTGAGCCTCGCTGGAACTCAGCAGCAGAACAGGTGTCTGGGGAAGGGAGCCGGCTCTGAAGGAGAAGGTGCCGGGGTGGCCAAATGATCCTGAACTCTCCTGCTTCTCCCCAGCTAGTTCCTTGTCCTCTCTGAGCGGCTCCTGACCACAAGCCGAGCCCGTCCCTGCTCACCCCACCAAGTAGACAGTAAGACATTGGAGCAAACCAAAGAGCCTGCTGCCCCTTTGGCTGTGGCGGGGGCAGGCGGCCCACCGTACATGGGCAGCGTCTGAACACATTCCCTGCCTCCCGTCCTTCCCGCAGCTTTCCCAGCCTTGCTCACGTGTGCCGCTCTTTGAAGCCGGTCGCTCCCTGTGATGTGGGAGGGAGGGAGGGAGGGGGGCTCGGTCCCCAGGGTGCCAGGAAACAGCCCTGGCCTCAGCAAAGATGTACACATAACGAAGCACAGAGGAGGCGATTTCATCTCTCAAGATCCTTCGTCCTTTTACATTCCAGCTCCAAGGCCGGGCCTTACGCTCCACGAAGACGAGAAGCACGGAGTCCCCCAGCAAGAGGAAGCAGTCTTCTTGGGCTCACAAGCTGCTTTTCCCTCTGCCTCTCTTTCCCCATCAGATCCCGAGTCATAGATCATAGCGCTGGAAGAGACCTCAGGAGTCATCGAGTCCAGCCCCCTGCCCAAGGCAGGACCAACCCGACTCAATCAACCCAACCAGGGCTTTGTTGAGCCAGGACTTAAACACCTCTAGGGATGGAGATTCCACCCCCTCCCTAGGGAACCCAGCCAAGGGCTTCCCCACCCTCCTAGGGAAATAGTTTTTCCTAGTATCCAACCTAGACCTCTCCCACTGTAATTTGAGACCACTGCTCCTCCGTCACTACTGAGAACAGTCTCTCTCCATCCTTTTTGGAACCCCCTTCAGGAAGTTGCACGCTGCTCTCAAATCCCCCCTCACTCTTCTCTTCTGCAGACGAAACAAACCCAAATCCCTCAGCCTCTCCTCACAGGTCATGTGCTCCAGCCCCCTAATCATTCTGGTTGCCCTCCGCTGGACCCTCTCCAATGCGTCCACATCCTTTCTATAGTGGAGGCCCCAGAACTGAACACAACACTCCAGATGTGGCCTCACCAGAGCTGAATAAGACCCATGTCTCCCGGCTTCCTTTGGCCAGCACGGACGGCTGTGAACACGCTGCTATCACAGCATCCTGCGTGGCAGCAGGGTTGTCTGAGGAAGGCCCTAATGCCTGTGCCAGGAGGGGGTGCCTTGTTAATATCCGCCAGAACGCAGCAGCGGTGGATTCGTCCCAGTCTCTGGATCCCTGGGAAACCTTCTTCGAGCCGGGGGCCGCTGACCCACAGGAAAATCAGTCAGGGCCCACACACAAGTCAGAAGAGGAAAAAAACCCTTCAGCATGGCCCTGAATGAGAAGGAGAAACGTACTCCCCATATTCCTCTCACACACCCGATCCTAGGGGGGCCTCGTCAATTTTGTATGCTCCAGCCCCACAGGGAGGCAGCGGGGGGACTGGAGCACCAAAGCAGGCACCCTAATGTTGGGGGGGGTCCTGAGTCTCGGGGGCCACATCCAGGCAGGCAGAGGGCCACATCCGGCCCCCCAGGCCAGATGTTCCCCACCCCTGCCAGACCTGGGGCTCAAAGCTGTTCTGTGGAGGAGCAACGGCTCTGCCTTTGAGATTAGCTCCCAGGACGCTGTCCCCCAGAACTCTGCTAACAGGACCATCAATGCATTTATGGGAGCAATGCCCCATTGCGCTAGGTGCGGTGCATACACCAAGTGAGAGGCAGTCCTTGTTTCATAATTCAAAATGATCTGGACAAACTGGAGAAATGGCCTGCGGTCAAGAGGATGAAGTTTAATAAGGACAAATGCAAAGTGCTCCACTTAGGAAGAAACAATCCATCTCACACATAGGGTATGTCGGACTAGTTCGGACTAGGGGTGCAAATGCAGGCATTCGAAATCGCTAATGAAGCGGGGATTTAAATATCCCACGCTTAATTAGGAAGATCTCACCGGCGTGCTCATTCGACTCACAGCTGATTTGAACCAGGAAGTGCGCGCCGGGATGCGTTTGTTCGAACCAAACCCCTTGGTTCGAACTAACGTTACTCCTCATATTTTACAACTCAATCAACCCAGCCAGGGCTCTGTCCAGCTGGGACTTAAAAACCTCTGGGGATGGAGATTCCACCCCTCCCTAATGAACCTTGAGGTCCCTTCCAGTTCTAGTGTTCTACGATTCTATGATTCCCAAAGCCTCAATGTGCACAGACAAAGGATGGGAGAAAGGAAACATCATTAGCCTTTTATAGGTGGGTTCCTGAAGCACAGAGTGAATACGTCAGGGCTGCACAGGATGCCGAGTA